AGTCGCACACGCCCACACATCCACATGTGCACACTGAAACACTCACATACATACAGGCATAGGCACATGTATTGGCCAGTCGAGTTTTCCCTTTTGTTAGCGCAGTGTGAACAAACTTGCTATTTACAATCTTAGGATTACGGTGATTTCGGTTTCTAAGATTTCTTTTATTCTCATACCTAAATTTGTTAAATTAAAAAATTAATCAAAAAAAACAAAATTTTTAATCCCAAAAAAGCAATATTTTACAAATTTAAGTATTTCACTTGATAATCAATCATCAATTTAAGTTCTTAAATTCTAGAAATATCTATTTCTCACTCTACTGTTGAATGCTTATTCAACATTCATATATAATGCGATATATTGAAAAGTTCTACAAAATGTATATTTTTGTCTATTTTACCTTAAATATATATTTAATTTTTCTAACTGATCATCACTAAGATCGGAACATATTTTGAAAGTTTGCATTGCTGGAAAAGTAATTTTGCGTATTTTTCAACGTTCAAATATTTAATTCTACTTACGTATACATCTTTTTTGTTTCTATGTTTAATTGTACGAAATATTTGATTAAACTAATTAGATGATTTTAAAAAGCTGACATGTTTGACTATGTTACTGTTTTAATTAAATGATAAAAGGACGCTTCTCAATACTCACTTATTTGATAGTGAAATAAATGAAACGACTAAATCGGGTTATTTTAGACGGTGTTTTCATGAATGTTTTTTATTTGCAATCCGTTTCCCTTATCATCATTATCATGACATGATAACGTCATAATCATCATCATCACCATCATATCATCATTATCATCATTGTCAGCATTAAATTTATCCCTTTATCAAGCGGCTTTACAAATTCAAGTCAGTACAACTCCTCTCTCTCTCTCTCTCTCTCTCTCTCTCTCTTTCATAATCTGAATTTCTCTGTTAATATATTTTACTAAAATTAAATTAGCATTTTTTTATATTTGGTTGATGCTAAAATTGCTATCGTTATCATCTTTCATATTTATTCCAACAATAATCATTTTTACAATTTCCCTTTATTGTTTTGCTTTGGAATAGAATAAAAAATTCATTTAATATTATACAAATCTCATTACATTTGTTCAATGTGATCCCTTTGGATCAATCTGACGATCAAATAAATAAATAAATAAATGAGATTATTGTTTTTCTTCTTTCTTTTCGATGATTTCTGTGCTTATTCGATCACTTATTCCTTTTATTTATCCATTTTTCATATTTCATGTATTTTCGAATGATTAAAGGAATGAAAACGAAAAAAAATGAAATTAATTAATTATTTTTTCACGATCTTCATAATTTAATTTCAAATTTATGCAATTTAAAGTTAACATACGTTGAAATTTAAAAGAATTTTCTGCCAATGTTAAAATTGTATTCTCCCTAAAAGTGATACGGAAAGAAAGATTAAAAAAAAATTGATATATGAAAATGATGACAATTTTCATGATTATTTTTAATTTCAGGAACAATCTGGAAAAGGTAATCTAGCCGGAATCGGTTCATCAATTCCTCCATCAACAGCAATGTATTCGGATAGTAGCAGTGGTAACTATAACGGTTATCAATTAGACAGCACCCAAATGATGATTACACCAGGAAATCACGAGACTGCAATTCATGATATGAGTAACAGTGCTGCTGCAGCTACTGCTTATTGGAATAGCTCAAATTTGCCACAGCATAATCCGTACACTCAACTTATGACTGGCAGGTATTCAAAGTTTGATAAGATTTTTTTGAATTGAAATTTTTAAAGATTTGTCCATTGTTTTACCTTTCTATTAATTCATTATGAAAAATTATAAAATTATTATAATTATACATTGTAGTTATAATGGGACTATGTTGCCGATGCATTCAGCTACAGATGACGATTACACACGTTCCCTATCAGTTACTGCTTCCGTTGCATATCCGGTTCCGGTTTCCGCCTCTACAACGCCTGCAAATGGTGATGTTGTTGAAATTGGCAAGGTAAAGATTATGTAACTTTTTTTTACAGAAACTTTGCAACATTTTTTCACTATTCCTACCTTAATCATTTTACGGGTTTTATTTACACAAAGAAATCTCAAAAGTAAATTGTAAATATCAGCATAGCGTGAATTGTACTATCCATTTATCTATTTCATTCTTTCCAGTTATACGATAATGATAATAGTAATCCGGGTGTTATGGTACCTCCACCAATGTATTCAACACATCATAGTACCACATGTTATCCACAATATTTTCCTTCATATGTGCCTCCGGTAAATTTCCTGAACTATTAATGTTTTCAGGTCTTTTTTTCCTGTAACTGTAATGAAATGTCAATATTTTCAGTGAAATAGCAAAGAAGAGGAAATTAGCGTTTGTTGCGTTTTTAATTCAATTACAATAACATGTTTGATATTTCAGTTTCAATCTGATGATAAACAAATGCCGGAAAGTTTAGCAAGTTCATATTTGAGTGGGGCAAGTGACATGATGAGGCGTGAAGATGTTGCCGCACCGCTTCATTTCTACACTCATCCATTGCAGGTTTACCTATAATTCTGTGCTCTTTCTTTACTAAAATTCAAGAAAATACGGTACGTGAGGAAGTAAAAAGTTGGAGGAGGAAGATTAGATAGAAAAAAGATCAATTATATGATGAAATATTATAAATGCCTTGTCTTAAAAATTAATGGTCCAGATCCTTTACATCTTTTTTATCCTTTTATTCGAATCAAATCTCTGCTGAAAATACAACACTTAAAAGAATAACAAATCGGTAGGAGAAAGATCGGATGAAAGGTCAATTATATGGCAAATTTTACGGAAATTATAAATGATTTGTCTTAGAAACGAATGGTCAAGGCCTTACTCCTTTTTTCTTTCATCATCGATCTTCTTGTCAACATTTCTGATGATAGTTTTGTTTGGATTATTGCAACATGCGTGCATGCATCCATAAGCGGTATCCTTTTTGTCGTTTGTCATTTGATGTCAATATATGTAAATGAAGACGACTCTTTTGACAATTTCATTGAAGAAGAAGGTCAAATGATGATTTTTGATTTAAGATGAAATGAAATGAGATGAGAGATGGTCGATTTACTGCTGTTAAATAGTATATGCAGCAGGTGGTAGCAACATTTCTAACTCTTTTAATATATTCATTAAATAACCGAAAATTTCCCTTTTTTTTCCCTCTTTCTCTCTTTCTCTTTATCTCCCGTATAACGGTTGAAAATTATTACATTTAACAAAGTGTGTTTTGTCTTAATTTCAAAAATTTTAAAACTGAAATTTATCTGACTAAAAAAATTAATTGAATTCTTTTTTAATTCAAAATAAGCCTGTTATAATAATTTTTTGAAAATAATATCGATGGAGATATGTTTATGACAGATATAGAAAATGACTCGTCACTTTTATATCATTTTGTTATCATCTTAAAATGATGAATATTTCATTCATTATTTTTGTTATTTTATTTTTAGTAAGTATTTTAAATTTCATTAAAACTGAATATAATTCATATGGTAGTTGCAAAATTAAATTAAACTTGAATACTTTCTAAAATATCACTAATAAAATAAATAAAGGGGAAATATTCGTCAACATGAAAAATTTTATAAAAATTCATGAAAAAAAATGAAAGTATTTATTTTAGAAATTTTACAAACTTTTTTAAAAATTATAATAAATTTCATAATTTTTGAAAGTGTTTTTTTTTTCTATTCAAATCATTCAAAACAATCACATTGTTGCAAAAATTATAACCATTGTTTTTCTAATTTCAATTTTTTGAGGATGACATTTCAGAAGAATCGCATCCTCTCCCTTTTTTTCAGCGATAAAGTATCTCCCATATCTGTCTCCCCCCGTTTTCTGTCCTCTATTCATTTCCGTTCATTCTTTTCCTGACCATTGGAAAAGTCGCAACATCTGTTCATCGTTTGCGACAACGATGTCCATTCTTTGTTCCAATGCTCATCCTCTCACACTCCTTTTCTCGCCATTCCTCCTTTAATACCATTAATGTTATTATTTATTTTATGAATTATCTGAAATTGACTTATAGAAAGAAAAAAATCATGAAAAGGAAATGAGGACAACGGAATTAGAAGAATATTCAAAAAAAAAAGTAAATTTTTAAAAATCTGAAAAAAATTGAATTGAAAAAAAAATGCATGCATGTATGATCATTAGAAAATATCAAAATAATAAATGGTAATTGTAATTCTAATGATCATTATGATCACGTCAGTTTGATTTTTTGAAAAGAATGATGTAATTTCATTGTAATTAATTTAAAATTGATTATATCAATTTATAATTCAATGATTGATTTACGATTGTTTGACTGCACCAAAAATGTTATAATCGAGCCATTTAATAATGCAACAGAACAGAAAGAAAAATATATGTCAAAAATGTAGTAAAAAAAGAAAAACAAAAAAAATCGCAGAATTCATTTTGAGTTTTCAGATTCATTTGAAATTTGCGAAATTTGTTTCGAATCTCAACGTTTATTTCTTATTATCAAACATTTATCATATTATCATTTAACAGGCTGTACTTCACTCTTTGATAGCTCAAATGTTTTTATTCTCTCTAATAACTTTTGAAACTTTTGGAGTTTTAATGTGAAGAAGAAAATTCAAATCGCTTTTCATTTCCCTCTAATAATTTTCATCTTTTTTTCTCATGGAACTTAATAAATTGATTAAATTTTGATTTGACAAGAATTATAGTGATTGCCATTTCATGAAAAGCTATCTGTTTCTTATCAGAGTAAATTTTGAAATGACTGCATAAAATGATAATATTTTGAAGCTATTATATTTCTTCTGATTTTTTCCTCATTTCAAATGACGATGAAATCATATTTTTCATCCCTGTCTGTCCATCCTCCTTCTTTCTCTTTTTGTAATCGTAATCATTCTTCGAGAATGAGAAAATTTTACATGTAGTACATATTTTAATGAAAATTTTATAATTATCATAATTTCCAATATACATCTACATTTTCAATTTTCGTTTCATTTTATTTTCCAGAATGCTGGTATAACAAATATTGAAGATACAAGGAATGTTACAGCAACCGCGCCATTAATTCCAACGCTGGATCCTTATAATAGTATGAATTTCTTTTCACTGCTTTTTTGGTTTCTTTGTTTATTTTTGTGTAAAAAATTTATACATTCATACTATGGCATAAATGATTGAAAAAAAATACTGAAATTTTTGCAAAATTTATTTTCATCAATTAAAAAAATCTTGAAGAATTGAATACTGATCGTCTTTTTAAAGAAATTGAAATGATTAACAAAATTTCAGCTATGTCACCTGTTACCGCACCAGCTACTGTTAGACCGGATTTGGTAGGCGGCGTAGGAGTACCGGTATCGCGTGATCAGTTCGATTATACTGGTATATTAGGTGGTCCTGGTAGTGTGAATGGGATGACATCAGCTACCTCCACATCATCATTAGGTACCATTGGAATGAGTACACCGCGAGTTAGCACTAAGAAACGATCAAAAAGCGTAAAATTGGATTCGGATGACGATGCAAGGTCAAATGATGATCGTGAAGCTGATCGTCGTAGTGCCAACAACGCTCGTGAAAGGTCTTTTTTTTTTTT